TCTTTTCCAGCCCTGTTTTTGCAAGGGCTGATTCTGTGACGTAGCTTTAATGCAAATGAGCTGCAGCTGACCACGCCCCCCTGCAGGAGAGGGGAGTGTGCTCTGATCAGCTGCTGGGCTCTCAGAAGAGGGGGAGGAAAAAAGAGTCTGTCCTCCGTGTTTTATTCTTATATTATTATATAGAGTCGTTATTCATTTGTTTTAAAGCTCAATAAATAACAAAGAAGACCTTTGACCGGCAATTTTCTAATTTTGTCCGGAAGATTTAAACTTTAACGGACATGTTGACCGGCGGAAAAAAATCTAACTGAAACTCTGCCGCACGGTCCCCTCGTTCCTTGGAAGAGGCGGAGACGTGGGTGTTTGTCATCTGCTGGTGGACTACCGGAGAGAATTACAGCGAGGGAGGGATTGAAATGAATTACAGCAGCAGGAGCAAACGCTTGCGTCGGGGAGGGAGAAAAAGAGCCAGAGCGTCCACAGCGGAGAATAAACCGAAGGGCAACCATGGCAACCATGCACGGGAAGTCTTCTTCGCTGCTTTTGTGGCAGACTACAGCGCTACTTACAGGCCTGGCATATGTACTACAGCGTCTCCAGCGCTTTCGAGCGGCAATGGCCGTGGCCGTGGCCCAACCCCCCATTCCCCTGATAGGTGGAGAGTTGCCCATATAGGCGGAGCTCCCTGTTTCTGACGTCAGAACAATTTCAAATCTGTATCAGCTCCGTTGCAGCCCCGTTTTTAGAGATTTGGGTATGGAGGAAAAGAGAAAGGGTTGTGTTTTCTGACACTTGGTGAGTTCCCTGACACACCGGGGACACATATTCATGTATAAAAGACGTACAAAAGTGCATTTTGCATGATAGGTCCCCTTTAAGGTGGAATCTGTTATGACCATGTATTATAAAGTATCATTGAGTTTTATTGTCGTCTATTGTTAACTTGTTGTTTTCAGACTTACACTGGCTTACCGTGTGATTTTTTCTCGGCTGTGATACATGTCTTGTATCTCTATGTATATTGCATTTGACAGACTGTTTCTGGCAATTAGCAGATCGATGTTAACCGTTATTATGATCATGTTTGATGTCTCTGTCCTTTGTTCCTATCTGGTAGACACACATTGAGGCCCCGCTCACACGGGACCGTTTGCGTTTATGCACAGTATGCGTATTCAAAAAAGTCTTCCGTTCACATGCATTTGTTTCATTTAACGTGTCTGTTCAAACGAGGCCGCTGGAAACGCTGTAGTACATATGCTGGGACTGTAAGTGGCGCTGTAACTTCCGCCAAAATACACCAAAAGCCGCGAAGAAGAGCAACCGAGCAGCCCCGCTGCAATGTTGCCATGGCTACCCTTCTGTTTAAGCCCCGAAACTGAAACTGAAACTGAAAGAAACTGAAAGAAACCGAATCTGTGGATATTGCATCCCGACCAAGAAAAACAACTCCGTGGAGAGGACGGCTCAGAAAGAGAGAGATATTCTCTACAAACACCGGGTGAGATCCTCCTTTGTCAATATAATGGATCAATGCATGAAATCTGACTCTGTTTATTTTGTTTAAGGAGTATATTGGGCGTTAACAATTCTGGTTTGCCTTTTATAATATTATTTCATTCAAGAACCCCTTGTGCGTTTAATTAACACAGCTATTTTTGATAGTTGCTACAGCAGTGAGCAGGAGAGGTGGGGAGAGGCGGGGCTATCGTTATTTTTTCAGGAAATATTCGTATCGAGGTGATTACACGGACTCGGTTGACCCCCCAGAGCGTTTCGTTTGCAAATCTATCCACCTTGGGACCCGTTATTGTTTGTGGGGTCAGTTTCTATCGGCCTCGTGTAAATAATAGGGCTATACGCACGCGAAACTATGCAGATACAAGCAGTTTTCTCCTTGTGTAAACGGCGCCTTATATTGTTGCTTCCCGTTTTTACTTTTGTTTCTCCATACTCAGGGTCAGATAAGTGTAACACATGTTGGTAAGGCTTATCTGTTCCTTCATCTGAAATTGATTGATTCTGTTGGATAAAGACCAATTTATTCATTACTTACAAGAAGATGATTCATTCTGACATTTCGATAAAAATAATCCTTCCAATCTTGGTTTCAACACATATAATAATAATAATAAGATAACCTGAGTGTTAAAGCCGCTGGTTCTGTTCCATATCTAATCTAAAAGATCAATGGTCTGGCCCCTGCACAGAGGGGGATGAAGTCGGAGAGGTTCAGTGACTCAAGCGGCTGATGTAGTCGTTCAGTCTCATGATTTATTAATTGCCTCCAGTCTAAAGCCCAGGAGCTGTGGCAGCAGAGCACAGATGCCTACTGTTCTGTAGCTTCCAGCTCATCCCATTATCCATGTACTAATGCAATCTGACTTGCTTTTGAAACAAGTTAATAGAAGCATAAGCAGCCTGCTGGGTGAAGAGTGGAAGAGATGTCAGGTTTAGAAAGCACGCTGAGTTCAAAGTCAGGGGAAGAAGGCGCTCTGACTTAACCCTCTATGCCATACTGTTGCCCTCAGGCAACAAACCACTTTTTTCGACCTCACACTGGCCCTCTAAATATTTGTATTTGTTTAAATATACACAATGTCACCTGACATGCTGGTGTCCAATAAAATTAGGGAATTATATGGGTGTGGCATTTTGTCTGGGGGTGGAGCAGTCCTTTCTGCAAGCAAAGCTGCAGGGGACTCAGGGCCACCACTCGGTAAGATACATTTCACTTTTTAACATATTAGAAATGTACACAACTTAAAATAAAAAATACATGCATGTGCATAAATACGTAAAGAAGTATATTTGATTGTTTAAAGACTTATTATGTATTTATTAAAGGTGGGGTAGGTAAGTTTGAGAAACCGGCTCGAGATCGCTAGAATTTGAAAATCTGCCACTTCCTTACAGAGCCCCTCCTCCAACACACACGAACGCGCACATGACCAATGAGGGCACGAGATAAGTTTGTGCACAGATGGAAGGCTGACAGGCAGGTAGGCCATCCAGTTATTTTAGCCGGGCCGGCTAAAATGATTGGTCATACTTTTTACAGTACTACGGCTTCCACAGATGAAATGTTTGTATGGATTTGTTGTGAAAGCACTTAAGATATTCATTGCTATCGGGGTGTTAAGAGCATTCCATGGAATATAACAAAAAGTGTATCTCGAACCGGTTTCTCAAACTTACCTACCCCACCTTTAATTAGCTAAAACTATGTTTTTTTGTTCGTTGCCTCAGGGCAACACAATCATGCAAGTGTGCTCAGCTGTAAAATGATAAACCTAGTCAATGTTTTTACTTTACCATCTACTGATATTTACAGGAAATGGACACCAAAACATGTTATGGGCAGAAGGGACACGATCAGGCTGTTAGGGCTATTCCGTCTGACAGTGAGGACAGTGAAGGTCAAGATAGGGTTAGGCACACAGACACACAGACACACACACACACACACACACACACACACACACACACACACACACACACACACACACACACACACAGAGACACATACACACACACACACACACACACACAGACACACACACACACACAAACATACACACACAAAGACATACACACACACACAGACACGCACACATACACACACACATATATATATATACACACGCACACACACAAAGAAAACCTTTTGAATTAATATGAAGTTGTTTTTTCTATTTCTTCTGAATTGTAGAAATCCTTGGTGTCTTAATACCCTCATAGCACATTGTTGCCCTGAGGCAACAAACCAACCCCTGGTTGAGGGGTGTGGGGGGGTCACATTTTATAATTGATATAATATCAGGGACCCCTAAGCTCCTAAAACACATGGTGAAACATTTTTTTCCTCCCAAAATAAAAAGTCATGCCATAGAGGAATGTTCTACTTAACTTAACCCCCACCCCGACACTTTATTACGTTTACAGTCTGAGCATTATCCTCACTCACTGTGGAGAGTCTCATCAGGATCATAAACACTGAAGTGTGCAATGTGGGACTCAATGTGTGAATACGCTGACATACTGACCTAATGATGCACTGCCAGAATAATTCTTACAACTAATGGATAAATAGATAGATAGATAGATAGATAGATATATCTATATAGACAGTTTACAGATTGATATAGTACTGCACACATATTGTTATGCTGTCTGTTCTGATATGCTGCATATATTTTATTCGCAGAAAAACAATGGTCATATCCTTATTGTACGTAATTCTTCTATTTTAAAGTCTTGCAAACATTTCTTTTTATTTTCCTGATTTTATTATAGTTTTTAAAGTAGATTTCTTTAAATAGCTACCCATTTGTAAAACGTCATTCCTCTTACTGTGTTTACAGTATGTATGCAACACAATACACCATGAGAGGAAATGTCATATTCTTACCGTACTTGTTTTTATATAGTTATATATCTTGTAAACATTTTCATTTTTCAAATATTTTATTATATTTTGATAGTTATTATATATTAGTTTTTTTCACAGCTTAATTCCTCTTATTTTGTTTATGTATGCACCATTACACCATAATAATACATTGTCATATTTGTATTGTACTTATTTGTTGTATATGTAGCCTACATATCTTGTACACATTTATTAAAATGTGTCCAATGTCCTTATATATTTTTTTGAATATATATATTTTTAAAAAGTTATAAATGTGTTTCTTTTTCACAACTTAATACCTCTTATTATGTTGCAACACTACAAACCGAACCAGATTCCTTGTGAGACTAAAACCTGATTCTAAATCCATTATTCAACATAATTACGTATTTTGTAAGGTTAAACTAGCAATTGAAATCCACATCTTTCTGTATAGGCATATGACGTACATGTTGTTCATGACGAATACGTCTAAAAATACATGTTTATGCTCTCATTCGTCTCCCTACATACAGCAGCATTACTCTGTGGCAGGTGCCGGTCTCTCCTAAAGACAGCAGTGGAGCAGAGAAAAAGCTGTACTCACATTATCCTCTAAAGTCCCGCTGTCAGCTCTCACAGCCTGTATCCATCCACAGGGAAAGTAATGTCCGCCAAGTTCAGCAAAACCCGAGCAGTATTAAACGTAATCTTCAGTTTAAACAGACTCCACAGAGCACCGCTGCGACACCGGCACACTGAGCGCGAGACACCGGTACACTCACTCACTGAGCGCGAGACTGAGAGAGAGTGATGTAGAACTCTCTCTCTCTCTCTCTCTCTCTCTCTCTCTCTCTCTCTCTCTCTCTCTCTCTCTCTCTCTCTCTCTCTCTCTCTCTCTCTCTCTCTCTCTCTCTCTCTTCCTACATGAACATAGAGAACATGTCATTATTGTTTTCTCCTGGAGGTGAAAGAAGTGTTATTCTTAAGTAAAAGTAGCGATACATAATTGTAGAGACACTCTGTTAGCAGATCTGCATTAAAAATCTTACTTAAAGGTCCCATGTCATGCTTTTCCGGTTATTACCCGTCCCCTTGTGTGTTATGTAGCTTTTTATGCATATAAACGGTCTGCAGAGTCACAAACCCTCAAAGTACACCCTGTAGCGAGTAAAACTCAGTGACATATTTGGGTATAGACGTTACGTCCGCGGAGCCGTTACGTTTGGACCAATCCGCGGACTTCCTCACACACACACACTCGACGGGACGTTGCGAGGCTCGCTGCTGCGAGGAGCGGACAGTGTGAGCTGGCTCACTGGTGTGGGGTCGGCGAGACAGCGAGACACCGCGGAACTCAGCCTGACACACAAACTCCCAGCCAGGCTGCGGGTGTGTGTGTGTTTCGGGCTGGGTTTCGCTGTCTCGCAGACGGCCACTGGGCTCACAGGGAGGGGGGGGCAGGAGCTCCAACAAACCGTTTAGGACAGAGATTGAATACACATACTATACAGAGATGCTGTATGAGAAACCAATGTGAGTTTGGAAAATTACTAGTACTAAAAGCGCTACATAATCCAAGCACTGCCAATTAAAAAACGTAAACCAGGGGACACTAAAAGGTGACGCACACAGCTGGGAACGGAGTGCTTGGCCGTTTCTCAATGTCGAGTAGAGCTGCTGCAGAGCCACTATTTCAAGTATACTACGTCATCGAGTGGCGCCAAAGGACTGGTTAAATTCATGTTAAATGCCCATTCGGCGCCACTCGATGACGTAGTATACTTGAAATAGTGGCTCTGCAGCAGGTATACTCGACATTGAGAAACGGCCCTTGTTTATGATCGCGGATCCTAAAGATGATGGCCAACTGTCATTGTTGTTAGAAACGTACCTAAAATGTAAATTGTATGTGCTCATTATAACAATGTGACCGCATGATTCTTTCGGATATTTGTGCAGATCTGTTGTAGGCTAGCTTGCTAACGTAGCTAACCTAGTCATTTCAAATATACTGATGAAACATTTTTATGATTACACTATTATGAACAGACTAACACTGACAACAGTGACAGTTGTCCAACCTTATAATCCTGAACGTCACCAAGCGCTGTCCCAGCTGTGTGTGTCACTTTTTAATGTCCCCTGGCTTCCGTTGTTTTTCGAGTTTCTTATAGCGTTTTGTTTGTGCAGCCCTTTATTAAACCCTGCATATGTTTCATCAAGTTGGTGAAGATATTTCTTCTTTTGCATGTGTTTTGGCACATTTGTGTTTTTACATTTGCATCGTTTCTGAAGCTGCAGTGCGTTTCTCCTAATGGAAATGTTGTGGACCGTTGTTCCTTGTTTTGCACCTTTAAGTCACCATAAGTATTTTTTATCAAAACACTTAAAAGTACCAAAAGTAGAAGTATGAAATGGCACAGAAATGAAATACTCAAAAGTACCTCAACATTTGTTCTTACATTACAGTGCTTGAGCAAATGTACTTAGTTACTGCCTTTAGCTTAAACTAAGCCTTTTTCAATACCATAAATAAGCAAATGTATCTTACATGGTGTGACAACCATCAATTTTCAAACCATGGCATATCGGATTACAGAGGGGGTCATTTTGCTGCAGAAAATCCCCCTTCTTTTCACCTGATAGAATCAGAACATCAGCATTGGTGAGTGTTATCTGGACAGCACATGCAGCTCTGTGGCGACAGACCCTGACCAGCTGGAATGATTTACGATGGTGTCGCCTCTGCAGAGAACCAGAATGTGTTTTATGTGAAACCTGGAGGAGTCTGGCTCTGTACAGCTCCACTCATTCTGCTCTGTTAAATTACTGTTTAGTGTGTTCCTATTAAAGTATGTGTTTGGTTCAGCCTGCAGGAGCAACGTGTCCGTGTGCACTTCACTACTGTGTAGTTTAATCAAAGAAACGGGGAGACACTTTGGTACTTTATTAGTATGTCCATTTTCCATTCCTCTTAATGTTTGGGAGCTTTACGGTGATGGAAGAAGTACTCAGATCCTTCACTTAAGTTAAAGTAGAAATACTATGCCCTTGAAATCCTCCATTACAATTAAAAGTCCTGAATTCAAAAGTTAGTACAGAAGTATAATCATTACTAAAAAAGTAATAGTACTCAAAATGCAGAAAGGTGGTTATCACAGTTTTGTATTTAAATTAAATTATATTATTGAGTTTCATCACTAACAAAAGCACTGGTAATAGTATACAGTATAGTTTACATCTCACAGTTGACTGGAGAAGAACTGCTTTGTTTTAGAAATGCAATTAAACAGGTGGATATTATTGCATAAATGTGCTGAGGGAAACTGTGTCTCTTTAACAGCCAGATGTTCTTTCAATAACTACACTTTTTGTATCTGACATTAAACAACTATGAAGGTTTGAGGAGAACTTCATTATGGTAACAATCCTTTTCTTTTTTTATTACCATTCGATCATTATTTCTATATAAAGATTAGGGCTGTTGTCGTTTACACATTAACACTAAATATTCTGTAAACCTAAACCAATAAAGAAATTATTCACATTACCAATTTCGACCCCCATTATCTCCCATAGTTTCAGTGTGGGTTTTTCCCTGTGTGAATACATAGCAAACACAGACAACACTATGACTAAGAAGATATCCCTTCTGTGTGTTGAACAGAAAATACAGTTTTTAATGGCAACTGCACATTTAAGTTGTGAAAAAGGAGGAAAGGCATTTTGCTGAAGCAGTTTAGGAGTTGGACAGGAGTGGGACATAGTGGACGGGGTCACTACGTAGGAACAGATAGTGCTCGCAATATAATGGCGTCAGAGAGAATACTGCCATACGAGCATAATTATGCCCTGTGTAGCGCACATAGCTTTTTTGATGCTCTAACTATGTATCCAGAGCAAGGCACCATCCCCTCAACCTCTCCCCGGGCCCTATAAGAGCTGTCCCCTGCTCCTAGGGTGGTTTAATGCAGAATCCTTTTGTAAATGTCCCCTCTGTGGGAAGAATAAAGGTATTCTGATAAACTGTTTGACTGTCAAAAAGGTTTACACTGTGTCAAGTAATCTTATTTACCTCATCTATGATTTAATCACATATTGGATGCTTGATTGACTTTAATTTTTTAACCGATTGACAACTGATAACAATTGTCCAATTAACAGTTGGGCAAGGGGTCAGGCAGCTTCAGATGATATCATGCTATTGATTGGCTGTCACCAGTGTTTATCAGCCACCTATATACAGATGAATGGCCTGCTAAACCTTTGAGTGGTTAGAGTGCGCTTATCATTCATTCACATGGATGTTAAATCCATAATGGACACCAAGAAGAGGGTCGGTTGACGTGGTATAAAGACCTTAGCATATGGAGAGGGTGGATTGATGAATGGATTGATGGATAGATTGGTCAAACAAACTCTGGACTTTAACCCAGGAGAATAGGGTGTGTATTCTTTGTGAAACCAAAAGTCAATGTTGTAGCCTACGTGGGGAAAGTAACATTGCATCTGTAATTTAAGTAACTTTACGTTATACTTTTTCTTATACCAAAACATGATTCCTCAACCTAATCACGTAATTTTGGTGCCTTACCCCTAGATTCCACCGGGTCCGTCTGCGGCGCGTTACGGACGCGTTACGGACGCGTTACGGACGCGTTACGGACGCGTTACGGCTGCGCCGCGGTGCTCAAGGTGATCGCGGCCACTCTAGTCAATGGGTGCTATTCCACCACACGCGGCGCGTTACGGCTCAGAAGCGTCCCAGAAGCGTCCCAGAAGCGTCCCAGAAGCATCTCGGCGCAGGGCTTTTCTAAAATTAGGATCGAATCCTATTTTTGTCGCGGCGCAGCCGTAACGTAAGGTCGGGCAGGCAGGAAGTGGAACGTTCAGAGCTATATAGACCTATATATATACACACACACAAACTAATTTTGCAGACCCTATCCCTCCGTAGTCTTTCAAGTAGGAGGAGAAATGCCAGCGTTCTCCTCCGGTTTACAGGCACTGTGTAAATTATATATATAGAATAATTATGATGATGAATGCATTTTTTTTACCACTAAAATACAGCAACACATCTTTGATTCATGTCGTTTATAACTGGAATATTACAGTTATTATTAACTTTGTCTGTACAAAGTAGCCTGTCCAGGAAATATGTCCAAATCAACAAAAACTGCGAGCCGGCAGGCAAGACTCTCCGCTTCTGAAATGCTTCTGAAACGCGCCTGGTAGGGTATGACGCCGGAGGAGGCCGGACCAAAACCGCGGCGCAGCCGTAACGCGGCGCAGACGGACCCGGTGGAATCTAGGGGTTACCCCTAGATTCCACCGCGCGTTACGGCTGCGCCGCGGTGCTCATGGCGATCGCGGCTACTCTAGTCAATGGGTGCTATTCCACCACACGCGGCGCGTTACGGCTCAGAAGCGTCCCAGAAGCAGCTCGGCGCAGGGCTCCTCTAAAATTAGGATGAATTCTATTTTTGACGCGGCGCAGCCGTAACGTAAGGTCGGGCAGGCAGGAAGTGGAACGTTCAGAGCATATATAGCATATATATATATACATATATATACACACACACAAACTAATTTTGCAGACCCTATCCCTCCGTAGTCTTTCAAGTAGGAGGAGAAATGCCAGCGTTCTCCTCCGGTTTACAGGCACTGTGTAAATTATATATATAGCAGGGTTGCCAACTTTGGGTACCTGGCTGGAGTGAGATTTTGATATCATGGGTTTAATTCGGTTTAATTACA